AGGGACTGAGTGTTACTATCTTGTCTGCTCTCTTACCAGCTTTTGGAGAACCCACTGTTGGGGAGAGAAAACACCAGGGATATGTGTTTTCTGTGGGAAGCAGTAAGCAAACAGGTCACCATTGGTTTTCAAGTCTAGCGCACTGCAAGATTTAAACGCAGGGAAGGAGAAGGTGGGATGAGCACGCTCCAGACACAGCACAAAAATGTCTTACGTACCTGGGCTTTCCAGTGCAGGTAGGTTGGGGATTACCTAACTCCCGACTACAAACCCCAAACCAACCGGCTGCCGTTGAATCCACTGTGACGTAAGGGTCCCCCAAGAGTACAGAGTCGAGCTGGGCCCTGTAGGGTTTTTAATGTGGGGCCTTTCAGAAGCACAGCTGTTTAGGTTCATTGGCAGAGAGAAAAAAACTAGACTTCAGAAAGGAGCTTAGCTAGCAGACACCACCCTTTCCCTTTCCTCCTAACCGCCTGTGGTAGTGCCGACTACGACTCATGGTGGCACTAGGTGTCAGAGTGGCACTGGGCTCCATCAGGTTTTCGACACCTGTGATCTTTCAGCAGCAGGCGGGCCAGGCCTTTTTTTTTTTTTTGGCACCAAGATGCTTCAAACCACCAACCTTTCAGTTTGCAGCCAAACCACTCAGGGAGAAACACTGTAAGCATGGGAGGCTAAGCATCCAGCGTCGATATCACCACAGGTGTTTAGGCGTCGAGAGGGCACAGGTGAGAGGAGGATGCTACAGTGCCTGCTGCTTCCAGGTAATGAAGCCCAGTTGGTAAGCACCCTTTCATTCAGTTCCTCGTGTGGTGGTGACCCCCAAACCATAAAATTACTTTTGTTGCTACTTTATCACTGTCATTTTGCTACTGTGATGAATCCGGCGACCCCTGTGAAAGGATCATTCGACTCCCAAAGGGGTCACGACCCACAGGTTGAGAACCGCTGCCCTAGAAGATGCCACAACAGCGGGCATTTTCAAGGGATACAAAGCGGGGCTTCTTTGGGAAAGATAAAGGAGATTCAAACCGCAAGTGAAGATGAAAGAAAACTAGAAAAGGATGTCTATGAATCCTCACGAGGAAGAACTACGGATAAGGATGAGGTCACTGATTCCATAGCAACCAGCTGACGTCCCCAAACAAGAAGCTCTAGAAAATGAAAAGCACAGAATGCACTTTGTTTTCGCCTTTTATTTTTCCCATTAGACACATGTACGCACACTCACACACGCTCACACTGGCCAAAAAAAAAAAAGAATACTGCAAAGTTCTCAACATGAAAATCATTTCTGCAGATGTTTCGAGAATGATGATGGCAACAAATGTAAGAATGGGCTTGGCACAACGGATGGATGTATGGATTGTGATAAGAGTTGTACGAGCCCCCAATTAAAATGATTTAAAAAATTAAAAAGAAAATCATTTCTCCTCATTCCTTGGTTAAGGGACGCGGGACGCGGGTGTCTGTAGCGGCAGTCACTGCCACCCCCTAGGAGCGGGCGGAGTCAGCAGTAAGGTGAGAGAGCAGTGCCGCCAACTTTTGAGACCCGACCCATTTCATGGATGGCACGGTCCTGGGCAAGTCTGTGCCTACTCACCGTGGTCCAGGATGTATTTCACAATCTCCCCGTTGCCTGTCTTAGCTGCGTAGTGAAGGAGTGAACAGTGGTCCGGTCCCTGGATTAGCAGGCTGCCTCCGTTTTTATAGCTTTCTATGAGCTGAAAAAGAGACACATGAAAAGGTGCGTGGGTGGAGTCCAGATCGCAGACAGCAGCTTAACCGGTACTACAATGGCAGCCGGCCCCAGCCACAGAGGACACAGCAAGGACAAGGAGTGAAGAGACAGCCCCGGGCTGCATTATTGTCCAAGGAGATGGTCGTGTCTCGTGGATACTGCACAGCCAGAGGAAATCCACGCCTGCCAGGCAGCTTACTGCTCTCTCTCTCTCTCTCTCTCTCTCTCTCTCCCCAAAGAGGGTGAGGGCTGGAGAAGAGAACAAGAGCTTCCCTTGTTGACTTAGCCGTCTCTTGAGTAGAAGAAGAGGTACACCTAGGACCGGGGTGGCGTTTGGTAGCTGAGCTCCTTTCTGAAACCTAGTTTTCCTCCCACTGCTAATGAACCTGAATCCGTAGATAGGGTTTCCGGGGCAATCCATCTTGACAGGAGCAGACATCCTCCTCTTTCTCCCTCAGAGTGGCTGGGGGGTTGGAACTGTTGACCTTGCAGTCAGCAGGATAAAGCCTAAGCCATAGGGCCGCTAGGACTCCATAGGAGCCTGACTCCACAAGAACTCACTGCCATCTGTCGATTCTAACTGGCAGCGAGGCTACAAGACAGGGAAGACCTGCCCTTTGGGTTTCTGTGACTGGTCCTCTTCACAGGAGCAGAGTCTTACCTGTCTCCCGAGGAGCAGCTGCTGGCTTCCAATGGCTGACCTTGTTAGCAGGCCAATGCATGGCCACTACGCCATGATGGCTCCTGGGAAGCTGACTACTGATGACAAAAGCCGCTTCCAGTTCTCATGTGCAGATGAGCACTCCCACCTGTGCACACGTGCACATAGGCAGGCACGTGCACACTCATGCAATGCTCCCCTGTTCATCCAAATCGGCACCCAGCAGGTATGTCTCCTGCAAACCTCCTGACACAGACAAAGTAGGGCTAGAAATGATAGCAAGGGAGAAGCAAAGTAACTGTGGTAGTTGGATAATCGTTTGTCAATTTGAGAGGATTAAGAGTGAAGGGGTGGAGTCTAGTCTGTCAATCGGGTCATAGCCAATGAGGCCTCTGTGTGGGCATGGCCTTCTCCTGAGGATTCTGGGAGCTCCGGTAATTCTCCTTGGAGGTGGGAGACACTCTCCCTCTCTCTGCTTACTCCCTGACAGACTCTCTACTGACAAGGCACATGGATTTATGCTGATGGCAGCAAGAGCCCTGGAGCTGGAGGAGCCACATGGAGACCCACACCAGCACTGAGATGCTTCCACTGTCACTGGATCCGCAAGACTATCTACCCACTGGCCTGGGATCTGCCTGCATTCGGCATCATTTCATGTGTTTCATAAGTCTGAAGAGGACTGTATAGATTGGTAGCAGGCGTATGGGCTGATATCAGATTTATGGACTTGATCTGGACTAGGCTGGGATGTTTTCTTAATGCACAACTACTCTTTATATAAAACTCTTTCTTACGCTCATCCATATGAGTGTCTATGAATTTGTTTCTCTGGTCTACCCAGACTAACACAGTAACCAAGAAAAGGAATCATTTCTACAAGAATAAATTGGGAACAGGCACAAACAAACACACAGAGAGTTTTGCAGCCTGAGAGCAGGGTAGACAGAATGAAGACGCAGTCAGAGTTCATGGGATACGGGGCATTTTGAAACACTGAACCACCTCGGTGGTTCCAACCCATGGCGACTCCACGCACAACAGAAGGGAACACTGCCTGCCCACCCACCCCCCCATCGTCACAATCACTGCTTGAGTCCATTGTTGCAGTCACTGTGGCAATCTCTCTTGTTGAGAGTCTTCCTCCTTTTCACTGCCCCTCTCCTCTACCAAGCATGATGTCCATCTCCAGGGACTGGTCTCTCTGGATAACATGTCCAAAGTATGTGAACATTTTAGGAAAGTGTAAATGGGTCCTTTTCCTACACATTTTGATGTATCAAAATACTCAGAGCCTTTCTGAGACTTCTAAATGGTAGTTTTAGGACACATTAGAAGTGAATAGTCTGGCCAATAACAAGCAAATAGAAAGGTGTTTACTCTCAAGTCGGACGACACAATATTTTTTGTATGATTAGATTAGATGATTAGATGTTTCATTTGAATGATGAGATGTTTCTTCAAGTCAAGGAGGGCAGCCTCACAATTCATGCCTTTACTCAGATGCACCTGCAGAGCTGCTGGGGCCAGAGGCCAGGGGCACAAAGATGAGTGAGGTCTAGGCTAAGGTGACCAGATTTTAACGTTGGTAAAGCAGAACAAAAGCGGGACACCACTGATAAAACTCATATCCTGGCGAAATAGCCACATGGCAGCCGAAAACCGTCTACCCTAGCTTGTCGTGCATTCTTTCCAAAAAGTGGGACTTTTAAAAAATGCTGTGGGATGTGGGAAAAATTGTTAAAAATCGGGACTGTCCCGTCAAAAGCGGGACGTCTGGTCACCTTAGTCTAGTTGTGGAGGAAGCAGAAGGCTGGAGGCTGGAAAGAGGTAGCACAGGCACCGGGGAAGGAGACATGCTGGAACATGGCTAAGAAGGGGACCTGCAGGCTTTTCTCCTAAACCTGGAGCCAACAGATTGGAGAAGGGTAGCTAAGAGTTTCCCACCAAACTCGTCAAGAATACCCCATGTGCTAAACTGTGGTGTCTCAGGGTAATCCTTCCTTTCCTTGTGTGGGCAAAGGATTCAGCCTCCATTGAGCAGTGTAGTCCCATGCCACCAGGTGCCTTGGCCCAGTCTTTCTGGAATATTAAACAACAAACAAGCACAGCAAACTCACTTCCGTGGAGGCAATTCTAACTCCTAGCCACCCAATAGGACAGAGTAGAACTGCCTCTGTGGGTTTCCAAAACGGTAAATCTTCTTAAAAGCAGTAGCAAGCCTCATTTTTCTCCCAAAGAGTGACTGGTAGTTTCAAACTGCTGATCTTGCTGTTAGCCAGCAAACTCGTCACCCACTGAGCCATCAGGGCTCCTCTGAGATATGTTGACCCTGTGAATACTGGATTGGTCCACAACCATCTTGTGAAGCCCAGTGGTCCAAGAGCTTCCCATGATGCGGATACTGGCTTCCCTCGCCTACTCTATGAACTAGTCTCTCTCTCTCTCTTGTGCACACAACCACTCGAACATGCTTGGCAGACAGTGGCTTTTTTAGAAATTGAAGGTTGGCAGCAACGCTGCTTGGATCAAGTCTATCGGCGCCATTGTCTCAATGGCCTCTGCTCACTTCCTGTCTTACTTCCTGTCCCATTTTGGTTCTTCTCACAATATTTCTCAAGTTTCCATCATGCTAATGAACACTTCATAGACTATCCAATGTCAACCTCACTATTCCATGCAATGGGAACCCCCCAAAGTCCATGTGACTTGCTTCACTGTGCCACTCGCTTCATACTGCAGTGGTCTGACACCGACCCCGAGGTATCCCCTAGGTCTGCCTGTACTAATACTGACTCACTTCATGCATCCGGAGCTCGGGTGGCATAGCAGGTTACAAGTTGGACTGCCCACTGCAAGGTCAGCAGTTCAAAACCATAGCTGCTCTATGGGAGGAATATGAGGCTGTCGGTTCCCATTGAGGTGTGGAAGTCTAGGAAGCCTGTAGGAGCAGTTCCACTGTGTCCTATAGGGTCTCTATGACTCAGAATTGATTCGATGGCTGAGTCTGGTTTCCAGTTTTACTTCATAAATAGATAATCAATATACCTATGGTGCTTTCTCCAGAAATGGGGGGAGTGAAAGATGAAGGAAAGAGAAAGAGGGAAGAAAAACAAAGAAAAAGAAAACCCTAGGTGCCCACATTTCATCTCTCAATAAAGAAGGTATTGCCATGCTGTGCCCAAGCTCAGCTCACTGCCATCGAGTGGACTCTGACTCACAGTGACCCTGCAGGTCCGGGAGAACTGCCGGTGGGTTTCTTTGACCCCGCCTCCAGGACTCCTCATCGTAATCACTCAGGGGACAGTGATAACAGAGACAGCAGAGGACCGGGCAGCTACAGCGATGCCTGCTCCTCCAATCAGTCTTTCTTAAAGTATGACAGCCCACCACCTGGAACACGTGCTGTCTGACGGACAAGATCATCAAGATGACAGGAAGGGATTGTGCGCGCCTGCTGCTTGTGAACGCTGGCTGACAAGGTGTCAAGGGCAGGGAACAGCCAGGCCTTGCCGAGTCTTAAGCCCTCACAGAGCCCAAGACAGGGCCTCATGGGTGGACTCAAGCAGGCTGGCTGGCCGCCAGCCCTAGGCTGTGCTGGAGAGATTGCAGGTCTCATTTCCACAGTTAATGCCATATCAGTGGGTAACATCCTAGATGTTTCAGAGCCTAGGACCCCTGGAAGTGTATCAGGTTACGTGTTAGGCTGCTAACCACAAGGTCAGCCATTTGAAACAGCCAGCCCCCACTCCACCCCCGAGGGAGTAAGAAGAAAGAGATTTTTTTCTCCAATAAAGAGTGAACAGTTCACAGGGGTCGTTGTACACTGTCCTATAGGGGTGCTATGAGTTCAAATTGACTCAATGGCTTGCTTTTTAGTTCTACCCACTAGGAACCCTGGTGGTGTAGTGTGTTACCTGTTGGGCTGCTAACCAGGCTAGCAATTCAAACTCATTAACTTCTCTGAGGGAGAAAGATGAGGCTGCTTGCTTTCATAGAGATTTACAGTCTCAAAAAGCCAAAAGGAGTGGTTCCACCTTGTCCTATAGGGTCACTAGGAGTTGGAATGGAATGGACTGGAATGGACTGAGTTGGAATGGAATGAAATGGAACAGATTGACTGGAATGAACTGGAATGGA